TGGCTGGGCCAGGCCCCATCAGTGGTCGCGTCCAGAAACAGCGGCTTATCTCCCATCTTCTGTTTGTGGGCTTGAGACTGGTGAAGAAAAGAAGGTCTCTCCTGCTTTTCTAATTAAACACTGGACTAAGAAAACAAAGCATCCCAACTCTCGATTTGGAAAGGTTTATTTTCATATGGTAACACAGCACCCCTCCCGTGACACAGACCTGTGAGTGACAGCTGTGCTGGGCAGCTAACCCCACCCCGGGGCAGCCTTGGGGACAGTTAACCCCACTTCTGCCCGGTTCTCAGCCCCCAGCCATGTGAGTGAGTGCTCCTGCTGGTTCTCAGCCCCACCCCTGAGCGCTCTGGCCTCCTTGTCTTGCCCCTGGACTCCACCAATCAGACCAACATAAAAGGAAGCCTGGTGTGGACCAAACAACCATGGCAGAACCTGCCCATCTAACTCCAAGTCAGGGCTGCCCTGGCTGTGGGTCAACACACCTCCTTCACAAGGAAGACATGGCCCACAGAGGAAAACCACTGTGAGGATAGAGGGAGGGAGGGAGGGAGGGAGACCACTGTGGGGAGGGAGGGAGGGAGGGAGGGAAGGAGGGAGGGAGGGAGGGAGGGAGACCACTGTGAGGACAGAGAAAGGGAGGGAGACCACTGTGAGGAGGGAGGGAGGGGGGACAGGGCTGGGCACTGGGAGGGGATGGGGGAGGAGGGGCCAGGGCTGGGCACTGGGAGGGGACGGGGGACCAGGGCTGGGCACTGGGAGGGGATGGGGGAGGAGGGGCCAGGGCTGGGCACTGGGAGGGGACGGGGGGGGGGCCAGGGCTGGGCACTGGGAGGGGACGGGGGAGGGGGCCAGGGCTGGGCACTGGGAGGAGACAGGGGGGCCAGGGCTGGGCACTGGGAGGGGACGGGGGGGGGCCAGGGCTGGGCACTGGGAGGGGTGGGGACCAGGGCTGGGCACTGGGAGGGGACGGGGGGCCAGGGCTGGGCACTGGGAGGGGACGGGGGTGGGGGCCAGGGCTGGGCACTGGGAGGGGGGCGGGGGTGGGGGCCAGGGCTGGGCACTGGGAGGGGGTGGGGGAGGGGGGGCCAGGGCTGGGCACTGGGAGGGGACGGGGGGCCAGGGCTGGGCACTGGGAGGGGACGGGGGGGGGGCCCAGGGCTGGGCACTGGGAGGGGACGGGGGGGGGCCAGGGCTGGGCACTGGGAGGGGTGGGACCAGGGCTGGGCACTGGGAGGGGGGGGCCAGGGCTGGGCACTGGGAGGGGGGGCCAGGGCTGGGCACTGGGAGGGGGGGCCAGGGCTGGGCACTGGGAGGGGGGGCCAGGGCTGGGCACTGGGAGGGGGGGCCAGGGCTGGGCACTGGGAGGGGACGGGGGGAGGGGGGGAGCCAGGGCTGGGCACTGGGAGGGGATGGGGGAGGGGAGCCAGGGCTGGGCACTGGGAGGGGAGGGGGGGGGGCCAGGGCTGGGCACTGGGAGGGGACGGGGGGCCAGGGCTGGGCACTGGGAGGGGACGGGGGGGGGGCCCAGGGCTGGGCACTGGGAGGGGACGGGGGGGGGGGCCCAGGGCTGGGCACTGGGAGGGGGACGGGGGGGGCCAGGGCTGGGCACTGGGAGGGGGTGACCAGGGCTGGGCACTGGGAGGGGGGGAAGACCAGGGCTGGACACTTGGAGGGGATGGGGGAGGGGGGGACAGGGCTGGGCACTGGGAGGGGACGGGGGGGGTGGGAGGAGGGGGAAGACCAGGGCTGGGCACTGGGAGGGGGGGCCAGGGCTGGGCACTGGGAGGGGACGGGGGGGGGGGGGCCAGGGCTGGGCACTGGGGGACTGGAAGGGACCTGGGCCCAGAGGGAAAGGCCTCTGCCCTCTGGGCGGGCACCAGAGGCTCTCAGTGCATTCAACCACCTCTCAGCCCTGGCAGAGCACTGAACAGTGGGAGAGACTAAGGGCTTTATCTCCTATAGTTATCAAAACTTGGTCTTGAACTCTTATCTCTGTTCACTCAAGGCTAGTGCTCTACCACTTGAGCCACATCTCAACTGTGGGCTTCTTGCTGGCTTACTGGACGTTAGAGTTTCTTGGATTTGCCTGCCTGGGCTGGCTTCAAACCTGTCCTCAGCCCTCAGCCTCCTGAGCAGCAAGGTTCCCAAGGTGATCCACCAGTGCCTAGCCGGCTCTAGCGTTTCCTAAGTACGTGTATGGCATTTTCAAATGTATCGGGATCGATACAGTAGCGTCTTTTGGCTTCAAGTCAGTAGTAACTATAAAAAGAAAGCAAAGGCTCAAACTAAGGACTGCCAAACAGCTGTGACACACCCAGGCCACATGGCAGGGGACAGTGGGGTCCCCAGGGTCATGGCCAGGAGCCGAGTGCTTTTCCTGTTAGCAGGACACTCATGGGTAGTGCCAGAGGCCAAGAGCAGGAGCGGCCCTCCCACGCCCTTCCCCCTTGCTCACAGGGAGCGGCCAGCTTTATGGGAGCTGGTGGGACCTGTACCCCTGGTGGTGCTGGGTGACGGAGCCTCAGGTGTGTAATTCAGGCAGGACACAAGCACGATGAGACCCCCAACTCCTGCCCACCCAGGCCCCACACGCAGAGAGCCCCTCCTCCCTCTCCTATCTGCGATTGCTCTAGCTGAGGCCCCAAACTGCAAACCAGAAGAATCTGATGTTAGGCCAAAACATAGGCGTTGGGCAGGAGGGGCAGACAGCATTTTCCCTTGCGGAATTTGAAGCGTGGCAAATGGACTGTGATACAGCAGGCCGAGGACAATGGGTCAACAGGGTGGCCCCATGGAGACCAGACAGCCTTGATTCCACATCTGTTACATCCCCGATTGCTGCCAGATTGCTTTCTTACGTTACTGTTCTTCCTTTCCTCAGAGGGTGGAGCTCTGGGCCTCAGGCATGCTGTAACAGTTCAGACTCAGAGCTACAATCTCAGCCCCCCATTTCTTCAAAACAGCCCATCTCAGGGTGTGTAAGCTCTGGGAGCTGCAGCAAGGCTGTCAGTCCTTCTGCAGGAGACGGTGCAGCCCACACCACCACCCTGAGCAGGAGACGGTGCAGCCCACGCCACCAGGCTCAGCAGGGCTGCTCTGTGGCCTGGTCCCCTTTCCATTGGAGGGCCTCCTCTGCCTCTCCCTCCTCCCTGCCCCCTTTCCCGAACCCCTCCACCTGAGCTCCCGGAGGCCGGCGACCCAGACTCTGTCCGCCCCCCTGACTTCCAGCCTCTGCTCTTCCAGACCAGGTCACAGGGGATGAAATGAGCTTGTCCCCAAGCCATGAAGTCACCTCTGCTCGTTTCTCTAGGGGATCTGGTTGGGGCTTGGGTCACATAATGTGTGCTTTCACTTCAGAACTCAATTCTGAGAATCCCAAAATCACACCTAAGTCTTGAAAGGTATGGCTTCTGCGATTGACCCCTTCGGCGACCCTTCGGAGTTGTCTGGGAGTGATGATGGCTCTCCGCTTCCTTGCTGATTCTCGGCTACACTTTTGGGGCGGCTACACTTCTGGGGACCACACCATGCAAGAAGGCAAAGCACCTCACTTGTGCACCAGTGTGCTGCAACCCCTACTGTTCGGATTGGAGAGCAGAACGCGGTACGCGGAGGCTCTGACCACAGGTGAGCAGCGGCTTCCTGACCCAGGTGTCCCAGCAGCTCACTGGGGTTTGGAAAATCCTTGGCGCCCCGGGGTACCCCTCCCCCCAGCTCCCGAGGGCAAAGGCAGGCCCGGAAGGGGGCGAGGGGAGGGGGGGGGCAGCGAGGGGGAGAGATGCAGGGGGAGGGGGAGGGGGGAGGAAGGAGGGGACAGGGGAGGTGCAGGGGAGAGGTGCGGGGGAGGGGAGGTGGGGGGAGGTGGGGGGTCGGAGGGGAGGTGGGGGGAGGGGAGGTGGGGGAGGTGGGGGGAGGGGAGGGGAGGTGGGGGAGGTGGGGGGAGGGGAGGTGGGGGGAGGGGAGGTGAGGGGTCGGAGGGGAGGTGGGGGGGAGGGGAGGTGCGGGGAGGTCGGGGGTCGGAGGGGGGGTAGGCGCGGCTCCGCCCGGCCCGGGGGACGAGGACGATGGCGGGCGCGCGCGGGCGGCCTCGGGCCCCTGCAGCCTGGCCGCCCGGGGAGGGGGACCGGGCGGGGGGGCGGCGGGAAGAGGCGCCCGCGGCCCGGGTCGCGGGATTCCCGGGGTTCGGGGCCTGCGGAGGCCGCGCGGAGGAGAACCGAGGGCTGACGCCGGGAACGCCGGCCGAGCGCCGCGCCCGGGGTCGCGGGGTCGAGGCCCGGGGCGGATGCCGGGGTCCCGGGGCTGGGGGCGACGCGGGGGGCCGAGGGGGCGCGGGCCGGGGCCGAGGCGGGCTGGCGGCGCCGGGGGCGGGGGCGCGGGGACCCCGAGCTCCGAACAAAGGCGGCGCTCGGCGCCCAGGTCCGCGCCCCGGCCGGACAAAGGCTCGGCGCGCCCCGCGCCCCCTCCCGGGCCCCGCGCCCCCCGGCTCCCCCGGCCCCGCGCCCCCCCCGGCTCCCCCTCGAGACCCCCGCCCCTCCGGCTCCCCCGGCCGCGCGCCCCGGTCCCTCCCCGCGCCCCGGTCCCCTCCCCGCGCCCCGGTCCCTCCCCGCGCCCGGCCCCGGCTCCCCCGGCCCCCCGGCCCCCGGTCCCTCCCCGCGCCCCCGGTCCCTCCCCGCGCCCTGGTCCCTCCCCGCGCCCGGCCCGGCGCCCCGGCCCCCCGGCCCCCGGGTCCCTCCGCGCGCCCCGGTCCCTCCCCGCGCCCGGCCCGGCTCCCCCGGCCCCGCGCCCCGGCCCCTCCCCGCGCCCGGCCCGGCTCCCCCGGCCCCGCGCCCCGGCCCCTCCCCGCGCCCGGCCCGGCTCCCCCGGCCCCGCGCCCCGGCCCCTCCCCCGCGCCCGGGCCCGGCTCCCCCCGGCCCCGCGCCCCGGCCCCTCCCCGCGCCCGGCCCGGCGCCCCCGGCCCCGGCCCCGGCCCCGGCCCCGGCCCGGCCCCGCGCACTCACAGGATGGAGGTCTGCGGCGGCACGGCCGGCACGGCCTCCAGCAGCAGATGCATGCAGCGCACCGTCGTGCGGAAGCACAGGCAGCGGCCGGGCAGCCCGAGCCGGGCCTGGGCGCGACCGCCGCCAGCGCCCCCCAGGCGCAGCACAGCGCGAGCGCCAGCAGGCGGCGGCGCCCCCGGGGCGGCCATGGCCGGCGGCTCGCGGGACGCGGGGCCGGGCGCGTCCGCCGTCGGCTGCGCTCGCTCCGCTCCGCGCCGCGCCGCGCCGCGCTCCTGCACTGGGCGCGCGCCGGCCGCGGTCCGAGTCCCCGCCGCGCGCGGGGCGGGGACGGGGGGCGGCGGGTACCGGGGGCGGGGACGGGGCGGGGCGGGCACCGGGGCGGGGCGGGGACGGGGACGGCGGCCGGCGCGCGCCCCCCTCCCCGCGGCGCCCGGGCTCGCAGCCAGAGCCGGCGCCCTCGGGGCGTGGCCGCGCTCCCGGGCCGAGGCTGGGCCCCCGCGGCCGATCGAGGCCCCGAGTTGGGGTCGGGGCGCTCGGAGTGGGCGGAGGCCGGGGTCGGGGTGGAGGCCGGGGTCGGGGCGGAGGCCGGGGTCGGGGCGGAGGCCGGGGTCGGGGTGGAGGCCGGGGTCGGGGCGGAGGCCGGGGTCGGGTGGAGGCCGGGGTCGGGGCGGAGGCCGGGGTCGGGGCGGAGGCCGGGGGTCGGGGCGCCCGGGGTCGGGTGGAGGCCGGGGTCGGGGCGGAGGCCGGGGGTCGGGGCGGAGGCCGGGGTCGGGGCGCCCGGGGTCGGGTGGAGGGCCGGGGTCGGGTGGAGGCCGGGGGTCGGGTGGAGGCCGGGGTCGGGGTGGAGCCGGGGTCGGAGCGGAGGCCGGGGTCGGAGTGGAGGCTGGGGTCGGGTGGAGGCCGGGGTCGGGCCGATCCTGCGCCCTTCCCCGGTGCTGCGTGACGGTTTGGCGCGGTTTCGTTGGGTTCCACTCGCCGAGAGAGCTTCCCGCCCTCGCTGCCTCCCCTCCCGCTCTTTCCTCGTTCCCCCCTGGGGAAACTGAGGCCCA